TGTGCCAAAGGGGGCAGTGTGGTGCTGTGCTTCAGTCCGCGCTACACCGCAGTGGCTCATTAGACACTATCACAGGTTAGCTAAAGGGTGCCAAGATTTATGTGAAGATCACATTTGATAGCAGACGTTGCATATAGAGTGTCTCCATGTTACTTTTTTGCTTAAATGTAGAGTAGCCTATTGCATCTTATAGATAGGCCTAGTGTTTGTCACTTTTTGTATCTGCCTATATAACTTCTATGCTTAATTTGGTTAAAGATTGTTACAGACTCATTAGTTTCTGCATCTGGTTCACCATCAGCACAAGCCTTTATTGATATAGCATTTTATGGCACGACAGTCTGCTCTACTCACTCCCACACATACAGTGCATGCTGTACTCTACGACTTGATGATAACACACCAAACAGCACCCACACGTTTAAACCGCACTATATGTTCGGTGCCATCTAGACTCAGTCAGACAGTAATAATCGCCTCCGTTTTTCAGGGTCATTCATATAAGGTGTCAAATGCACCCCCACACATTTGCATAAAGTAATTATTCAATAACCAATATGTGTTAGCCACGCTATGCAGAAGTTTGTACTACCATCCAGATGCTAGTGCTGGTGCTGTAGCTCGCAGCAGTGTCTTCCTCTCTTGCAGGATGAAGGATTTTCTGCATCTGCTTGGTCTGTTATGAGCCACACTGAGTGTTGGCAAGGAGACAGTCAGTCAGACCTCATAATGAGTAATAGAGGCTGGTTATCAAAGCAACAGACGAATGCAAGACTTGTTTAGAGTTCCTAGTCTGCTTCAAACAAAACCGATACAACAAAGCATTGCAATTTTTGGTTGCCTGAAAGATTGCTCCCATAGGACATCATTCTTGCATGATGATTGTGTGACAAAATAAGAAAATATGCACAAACCCTTTTAGCTTAAGGCAGTGCATGGCACATCATTTACTCAAAAAACTGATACTTTTCCTCTTAAAGGCATAGCTCACTAAAAATGACAAATCTGTCATCATTTATTCCAACTCATGTCGTTCCAAACCTGTATGAATTTATTTCATGTCAAATATAAAAAGACCATGTTGGAGAATATGTAGTCATATGGATTTGGAACAACATATACATGTTTTTTTGGTTCAAATTCATATGACTTACTCTCTTCAGTTTGGAAGACAGTGAATGGTGACCAAAGAGGATAAAAAGCAAACAACCAAACATAATCTAAGTGTGGCAATATGACAATATACAATATGACTAACGTGATTTACTAAAGTCTTTGAAAGCGTATATATACATACATATGGGTATATAATTACATGTATATACATATATAATTATATATGTATAAAAGCATCTGTCATTTCCATAAAATTATTCTGTCATGATTTATTCACCCAAATCATTCCAAACCTGTATGAATTTGATCTCTTACGTCCTATATGAAAAAAGAAGCTCAGGAGAATGTCCAAGCTGTGTTACATTCATGTATTTATTTATCAAGAACTTATCTAAAAAAAAATTCATGTTGCCCTTTTTTATACAATGACAATGAAAGGTGACCAAAAAGTGTGTGGGGGGGGGGGGGATGACCAAAAAACATAATTTAGTATGTCAATATGACTAATCTGATATAGGCTGCTTTAAAATATATATATCGGATTACTCATATTGACAAATTAAATGTCTTATGGTCGCATTCACAATCCACACATGGTATGGAAAAAGACAGCATGGACTTTTTTCAAACCATTGCCTTTGATATTCCACAGAAGAAAGTCAGTCATATGGGTTTGGAACAACATGAGAACGAGTAAATGCATACTGAATTTTCATTTTTGGTGAAATCTCCATTGAACCCTGAGGCACTTGAAGAACCAATCAAAAATGTCACTTGCACATTTTAAGCAGAAACAGATAAATATGCTGTGGAATCTATCCAGAGAGCCTATCTTTCTTCCAGCAGAGGAGAACATTTATTGCCATGACGATAAGTCATTTATCATCCCGAAAAACGAAGAAGATACATTTGCACAGATATTCGGTAGGGGCCTTGATCTGTATCTGACAGGGGGTTGAGGTACTTCACTTGAGGATCATGACTTCTTAAGCCGGGCAATGTATTATCTCATCTTTCCGACCCCCCAGCATGACGACAACAAGCCCCATGGCCACACTTGCATGGGTTGACATCTCCTTTTCATCTGATTGCACGCTCCTTGTGGTCCTGCCTTAGATAAGAAAAATAAATGATTTATTGGACGCCAGTGAAGAAAGGTAGCCCAGTTTGCTCCGAGTCAAAGCCCTGCTCGTTGAGATATAGCCATGAACGTGGCCAGCAGGGGATGGGCTGTGACAGGCTTGAGGAAACGTGGGATTCGAGTAATCTCGAGGCCACACAAGCAAAGAAGTAACCCATTTTCAACATATGAGACGGGCCGTTCTCAGACAAACAGTTTACACTAACTATTTATTGACAGGAAACAGGACCTGGATCTGAAAGGCATGAAATAAACAAGCCCTGCTGTTGCTGGCTTTGTCTCAACGCTGTTTGCCACGCAGACAGGGCTCTGAAATAAACAGATGCAGAGGCATTTTACGCTGAGCAGCTCGCCATATGCATCATCTCTTATCAGAAACACGAAAAGCTGAGCATGAACACAACGCGCAATTCAGTCGGGCGCAGCGACTAACACGCAATAATCGTGTCGGCTGTCTAAAAACCATCACAGGCCTCTTTGATTATGAAAAATCTCTCAAGCTGATGAATCACATGGATCACGGCGGTGAGGTGATAAATAACCCAGACATCATGTGACTCAACAGCCTTATCAAACATCCTCTCGACTTTGACAGTTACAACTCAGGTAAACACTGAGAGCTTCATTTACAAGAATGCATTGACATAAACGCTCTTGCTCAAATTTGTTAACATTGAAGAGATGAAAGGACTGCTTGTTTGGTATTTGTATTGCATTAATAGAACATAATCTACATTCATGAAACCGACTGATTCCTGCTGTGATGACAAAGGCATTTTCTTAGCTATTTGGTTCTCCTTTTCTTTCTTTCTCTCATAAATATCAGTTGCAGAATGAATTATTAGACTGGCCTGAGCAATTAAAGACCGCAGGTAGCGTCTAGACTCAATGAGACATTCAGGTGGATTATATGTGGCATTTAAAGTCTTAATTACAAAGCATCAAGCTAAAGGTTTGGGTTTCTAAAGCTGAAGGGTTTTGTGAAAATGTAACTAAGTAATATGACATTAAGCACCAAACTGAACACTGCACTGTACATGTTCTCTAAGGTGTTTTTTCAGTATGTTGATGTGTGTTTTCCTTTTGAAAATCTAAAATAGGTAGTCCAAACACCTCACCTTAACTTTTTTATCAGTTGTGTGTACACTCTTAAAAATAAAAGTTCCATAAGGTGCTGTTTTTTTTTTAGCCATAGAAGAACCATTCTGGGCTCTCCAAAGAACCGCTTTCTTAGTGTGAAATATATTTTAATAATCTAAAGAACAATTTTCCACTGTATTTGAAGGCTCCATGGCTGTTAAAAGTTAATAAAGAGCCTTTCTTTTTAAGGGAACAAAAGCGTGGTTTACGCCAAAGTTCAATACTTATAGGGTTAGAAGTTTGATTAAATCCCTACAATTTCCTACTGTTCATAAAGTGGAACATATGAACTCTGCTCAAACTATTTAATGGAATCATTCACTTGGAAAGACAAGCAACTTTGTGCCCTTTCGGGTCAATTTTCTTGTTTCTGACATCAAGGCTAAACCAAGCTATTTATCTCTGTAGAACAGAAAGCTGATTCACACATATTTCCATAGCCTGAGTTGTGTTAATTAACATAAACAACCGGGAAGTGTGTGAGATGACTTGATCTGATGACAGAGGACAGAAGAACAAAAACTCTGTGAATGAGAGAGGTGAGTTGTAAGGACTCAAGCCAAAAAGTGTCCATATTTCATGTATGACCTTTCATTTTACTTAATGAACAATATCAAGTTTAAATGACACTACAATAAAGTCCTTAAAAAGTATAATCATTATGTGTCTGCTGAAATAAGAAGCTACTTTAAAACAACAGTAACGTGAGATCTTTACTTAAGAGCAAGTATTCATAATATTCTAATTTTGTGAAGGCAAAATGATTAGGCTACACGTTATAATATGTCAAAACTCAGTTACCAATTACTTTCCAGAGTGATTTCTAGACCTGAAGTCATATTTAAAAATGTTGTTTGTGAAACCTATTCATTAATTCTGTTATCTAGTTAGCTTACTAGACATACAGCGTATACAGTATTTGTAGTTATATTTTGTTTTCTGATTAGTTTTAATAAGAGTACATTTTATATGTAGCCTAAGCCTATAGTTTTTGATATGCAATGACACCTGGCTCAACACTTTCTAATTCTCGAGGCTCAATCTGTTGAGGCTTGTCACTTGCCAGCCATAACGTGGCTGTAGCTATATGACTTTTACAAGTTATTTTTTAGTTTCCATTTCTTCGTGAATACGTGTGAAGAATCTGTAATAAATAACGACAACAATTATATTTGGACATAACTTTCACTAGCCTACTGATTTGGTGCTCAAGCGACCGTTGCCGTGGTTACCTCAGGCGAACGCACGCGATTGTTTATGCAAACGTCTGACTGGAAGCACTATGCTTATTAGTTTACTGAAAAGTCGTTTAAAGCGCTACAGAAATGTTACTTTGATAATATTTATAATTAAATGTAGCCTATAGCCTACTCGTAACGACCCCCACTCACAACAACTTGTTTAATATCCTCTAAGGCATTTTTCCGATACGACCTCCGTATAATTCTGACCCGTAATATATAAACAAACACACAGCTCTGCTGCAATACTTGAATCTCTCTGAAGGACTGTATAAAGTATTGCCTCCAGCAGCGGCAGCCAATGAGTCTTTAGCGGGGCGGAGGTGAGTGAGAGAGAGACTGCAGCTCTCAATGGAAGTTGCTGTAAGTGCGCCGGACCTGTATTACACTACATTATTTCACTCGCTTCAGTTTGCTGTGAGCCGGAGCAACGAACAGCCGCTTGTTGCTTTAGCTGCTCAAAAGTACGCTTGCGATATCTATTTACCGATTCGCTTTTATAATCATATTCGCTGCGACGTTTCATGAGGAACTGCCGGTGAATTTAAGAGAGGTCTTATTAGTACGCATACAGTTTGGAGGTTGGTTTAGGTGGCTTTCATGCATGCAACCGTCTGGATGGATCCTTATCGCTAGTTTGTGCACATCAGTCGATTGGGACAGTTTGGTTGGTTATGGTTTGGAGCATGTTGAAATAACAGCAGGAGCAGCACTGCATCTGCAAAGTAAGAGCGGATCTTGCGACTTTTGGGGGATATATATCAGGCTAAGTGAGTGTGCTTTTAAAGTGGGCTAAATGCTATTTACGAGAGGGAATAAAACACCTGACTGGGTCCTGTAAAGTGAATCAGTGTGGTGTCATCAGTGTAATGCATACATGTAATTACCGTTTATGTATGTAATATACCCATAATGTCGCGTGTGCAGTGATCGCGCGCAGTAGCTGCATTTAACTGTTAATGAAAAGCACATTATTTGCCGACATCACCGGGAACTTTCCACTGGACGCAATGCACGCGCTGTAACTGTCAGTTCTCGTTCATAAGAGTTCAACTTGCGGAACAGAGCGCACGCGTTACCGGAATGGACGCCGGTGGATCTGATCCCACAGAGAGACAATTCACAGGTCTGCCTAAAGCACACAGAGCTGGCAGACACAACACGGCAGCGGAGGAGGACAGTGTTTACTCAGGAGGCGACGCTTCCCGTACTCGCTCAACAGCACTTCTCGCACGTGTGGATGCCATCATGTGTGATCCTAAGAGCGCTTCCCCCGAGATTTTGACTCGTTTCTCCGGGAGGAATGTCGGCGGGAATGGAAAGAGAAAGTTTGCGTTGTGCACTTGGTGTTGGTGGGCGTTTTTCTGCATGCACGTCCACGTGTTGAGAGCGGTCACACAAGGTAAGAAAACCCTGTTTTTATACCGTCTGTGATTACCACCTGATGCAGGGCTTTGAATATGACACCGCAGCTTCATATAAAACACTTCAGTGTTCTGATATATGGGCGATTCTTCTGTTAGAGGCACTTTTCACTACTTGAAATGAAACTGTCTAAACGTGTAGGCTGCTTCCCTCGAATAAATATCTGATCATGGCCTTGATCAGATTTCCAGTGAATTTTGGTGTAAGGTATTGTATGGGGTGGAGTTTTGATGTTATGTGTGATTTGTAATTTTTTTGGACTCGTTTTTAGAGAGAAAGTTGAATAAGCCTTGAACATGCTAATGCAAGTTATCTAGCTAGCAGTCAATTAATTTCGAATGTATACTGTTAAAAAGAAAGTAATTGTTTCAGAAATTAAAAATGAACCAGGTTGGTAAGGACCATTCATTCATTCATTTATTGCTGACTGGACTGGCAGAAACACCTGTCAATTTGCATTAACACCACCATAACCAAATATAAATCTTTATGGAAAAAAAGTGTTGTTCTTCAAAACGTTTCGCTTAATAGCAGCAGCAGGTTTGAAACTACTAATCGTATACATCAATATCAAAATGTTATATGTATTTAAAAAGTTTATTTGCATGGTAGAATGTCTTTAAAATTTAAGGGAAGTTAAAAAAGAGTGGAGAAGATTTTGGCTTATCTAACTCAGAAATTAGTACTGGCACAGTACAAAGGTTTAAATCTCTTTTAATGTGTTGTTGTTGTTTTTTTAAATGAGAAAAGAAGAGAAAAATTGTGGGAAAAAACAAAAACCTTTAAAATCATCCAAGTGGACAAAAAAGTTCCCCAAGTTCACTAAAATTCTATAGCTCAACCCAATGGTTTCATATTGGTGATTATGAATAGTGCATGATCAGTGTGTTTGACACTGATGTCATAAGACCGCCAAGCTTGATTTCAATGATAATGCAATGTCAAATATCTGTCTGCCTGTGCAACAGACAGTTGAGCTGAGATCGCTGGACCCGAACAATAGAGGAGTCATTAGGTCAGACTGCATGCATGCTCACAGATGGCATATGCATCCTTTGGCTGTGATTCCCTCTGTAATGTTTCTCATACAGGGAAAATATGATGCCTGCATATGCATAGTGGGCCACTTGAGGATGAGAGTAACAGTTGGCATGCTGAGAAAAAAAAGTGACTGGTTATTGCTGTTAGAAGAACTCTTGATGTATGTTTGCTTTATGTATTGTGTTGTTATGAACGTGATGATGCAGCTGGTTTTGACAGAACTGGTGCAGTTTATTTTTATGAAATTTGTTATTTTAGACATTGGGGGGTATAATAGAAATGATCAGCCATGTGTGACTATTAATGACAGGCTCCTTTATTCATCTGTCAAATTAAAACAGCATGCCTCATTAAAAAGAACATTTTTAATTCCTTAATACGCCACAGATTAGAGTCATTTTCTCTCCGTAATCAAAAGGATAAATGATCTAAAAAAAAGACACTAAAATTCTTTTGAATTAAAACCTCATCCTGCTTTAAGCTCTTTCCACCCACAATACATGTATTTTTGTCACTTGTGCGATTTGCATTCCTGAAGGCACCATAAAATTAGTGGCAGAAATTTTCTTTGTGGGGGAAAAAAAACAACAACTGATGTTCAGTAAGGGATTTAAAGGTGTTTTAACCAGCTGACTAGACTGAGCTATAAATATAAGAATGAATGACAGAAATATGTGGAGCCTAAAACCTGCTTTTAGGTACAAACAGTGTTTTGTTTTTTATAAAAAAGAAAAACTGTGACTTCTCTCTACAAGAAGAAGCAGAATTAGCTACTATCCATAACACATTTACTTTGCCAATCTGAAATATTCAAGTGTGAGGTCCTGATTTGTGTGTGAGTTTTTTTGCCTTTCATGATAAACACTCACTAAAGATAAAGCCCTATCACTATAGCAAGAGAAAAAGTGTCCACTTAGTGAGCAAGACATTCATTAAAGGCATAATAATAATAATTCACACAAAAATGAAAATATGCTGAAAATGTACTCCCCCCCCTCAGGCCGTCCAAGATGTAGATGAGTTTGTTTGCTCATTTGAACAGATTTGGTGAAATTTAGCATTACGCAGTGGCAGAAATTTTCTTTGTGGGGGAAAAAATCAACAACTGATGTTCAGTAAGGGATTTAAAGGTGTTTTAACCAGCTGACTAGACTGAGCTATAAATATAAGAATGAATGACAGAAATATGTGAAGCCTAAAACCTGCTTTTAGGTACAAACAGTGTTTTGTTTTTTATAAAAAAGAAAAACTGTGACTTCTCTCTACAAGAAGAAGCAGAATTAGCTACTATCCATAACACATTTACTTTGCCAATCTGAAATATTCAAGTGTGAGGTCCTGATTTGTGTGTGAGTTTTTTTGCCTTTCATGATAAACACTCACTAAAGATAAAGCCCTATCACTATAGCAAGAGAAAAAGTGTCCACTTAGTGAGCAAGACATTCATTAAAGGCATAATAATAATAATTCACACAAAAATGAAAATATGCTGAAAATGTACTCCCCCCCCCCTCAGGCCGTCCAAGATGTAGATGAGTTTGTTTGCTCATTTGAACAGATTTGGTGAAATTTAGCATTACGTCACTTGCTCATCAATGGATCCTTTGCAGTGAATGGGTGCCGTCAGAATGATAGTCCAAACAGCTGATAAAAAGGAAAGGACGTGAGGCGTCCCATACTTGGAATTTGTGCTCTGCATTTAACCCATCCAAGTGCACACACACAGCAGTGAACAGTTATTTTAAATAGTAAAAATATTTCAAAATGTTACTGTTTTTGCTGTATTTTGGATCAAATAAATGCAGGCTTGGTGAGCAGAAGAGAATTCTTTAAAAAACATAAAAAATCTTACTGTTCAAAAACTTTTGACTGGTATGTTAGCCTATAGTTTGAAGTAAAAAATATTAATAAGGAGAGTCTGAGATTTATTTGACAGTGATTTCACATTTCTTGTTTGTATGAAGGCTGAATACCAATAAAAGGTGAACATTTATTTATTTGCGCCATTTTTTTCTTAAAATATTATATAGTTTTATAGGAGTAGGTTTCATAGAGTTGGCAAATTCATTTTTCATAAGTTTGTAGGTACAGACATCTGTTGTGGCCGTTCTTGGCCGTTTTTATGAGGCTTTTCTTGGCCGTGTTCATATCGAATTATATCGTATCGACTGAAATTAAGAAATATATCGTGATATAAATTTTGGCCATATCGTCCAGCCCTAATTGTGATGCAAAAATCTTTTCTTTTCTTTTCTTTTTGATCAGTTTAATGCATCCTTGCTTAAAAGTATTACTTTCTTAAAAAAAATTACGAACCCAATTTTTGAATGTTATTTTAAACTCTTTACAGCTGAGAACAATTCAGGTTTTATGCAAGTTTTGCGGGCAGGTGTCAAAATGTTAATTGCTGTTCATGAAAGATGAATGTTAAAACAACAGATAACTTTCACTTGAGTTGTGTAAAAGGCTTTACACCGGCTTTTGCTGCGTTATATGGAAGCTACATTTGGCAGCGGGGGAAGGATCAAGACAGATCAAGGGAGAGTAGAGACAATGAGTGGTGTATACAAAAGGGATCTGAGAACAGAAAAATATAAATGTGTTATTTTTAGTCTTTTTTTCTATCTTTTATGCTCTTATCTGTTGGTTTTAGACTTTTTATACCAGTTTTTGTTGATATTGAAAGTAATATTAGCTACTGTTTTAGTAGCTAATATTAATTGTTTTTGGTCATCATTTTTTAGTGTTATAATTGGCCTAGGTAGACGCTAACATAATATGTGTAATCTTGTGTGACTCATTACTATCCCATAAAAATAAATGTATTATTTTACAAGTTTTATGCCAGTAAGCCAAAATCAAAGTGATTGGGTCTCAAATGCATTTCATGCTTAATCGTTTTATACAGACATGCTGAGAACCACTTATTTTCATCTGCTGAAGTTGGTCACCCCAGCAATGTGCCTTTCTATGCTTCCTAATTTTCTCATTTAAAAATGTCTGATTCTCTGTTCATTACTGTTCTTCGAGCATGCTTTACATCTCTTCTTTCACATTCATCTCAAGCCGGCCGGCAGCTTTGTGTAATTTAGGAGCTGCTACAGAAGCTCTGATCTGCTTCTTTGATCCCTGTTTGGCATGGATTGATTTCACAGGGATGTACATGGAAATCTCCCAAATGGCAGGGTGATTTCTGAGAGATCGCAAGCACTATCTCACACATGCGGACAGGCTGTCTGACTGACGTCACGTCCAGGGATTCCTGCAAACAGCTTTGTCACAATACCTGCATGTTCCTGTCAACAAATACATTTTCCATTGAGCTCATAAAGCATCAGTCTCCTGTCTTTTCAAATCCCTGTATGCTTTTATTTTTTGTGAACAAAATTATTATTATTTTTTTTTTAATAAGAAGAATTTCCATGCAGCATTTTTGACCATGTATCAACCTCCAAAAATGTTTCGAGGAAATAAATAAATAAACAAATAAATGAGCAAGCCATAATACAATGGGCTGCCTTTATGGTGCATTTATTTATTCATTTGGCTGAAGCAATAAAGTAGCTTTGTTTTTTTCTAAATCTTCCCCTCGGCTGTGGCTTGCGAATCTCATTTTCCAGTCATACAGTAGTTTGTTTGTGATTACACATAAAAAACAAAATGTCTGGTATAATGAGTCTGTTACTTTTTTTTTTAATCTAAATTTGAATATAAATGCAATTTAAGGGAAATAAGTGTAATCATTTAAATTGCAACCTGTTCATCACCAAATCAAATGTAAGAATATGGTGTACGTGATATATTCTTTGGTTTTATTTTGTCCCTTAGGGATCTTCACATCCTGTTGTCATTGTATTAATTCTTTCCCCACTGTGTTTTTGAAAAAAAGTTGCCAGCCACCGCCAACATTTTTGATCATTTTGACAAAAATGTCAT